TATAGTGAGAAGCAGCCCTCTGTTGTGGATTTGAGCTCAGCTCGGGGATTACATCCAAACATTTTCAGTAAAAACTGCAAAGCAGGGACCATAATCATGGAAGAGCAAAGCAATAATCCACAACTCTGCACTGAGGAAGCTAGTTCTCCTTTACTGGGAGCATCTAAGTAAGAAATGACAGCAGTCTCAATACTGCTTTTCATGAACAAGTAAGCACTCAAACAAATAAACCAAAGAACTCAAACTCTGCAGCAGCCGAGAACGAGGACAGGGGAGAGAATCCAGTGAAAAAGCATGCTGAGACAGGTACAATTTTCTGATGTTTGATCATCTGAGTGAAGGAGCATTGTGGATATTTACGTTTATTTATTTATTTATTTATTTATTTATTTATTTTGGTTTTCCGAGACAGGGTTTCTCTGTGTAGCTTTGCGCCTTTCCTGGAACTCGCTTTGGAGACCAGGCTGGCCTCGAACTCACAGAGATCCGCTTGCCTCTGCCTCCCAAGTGCTGGGACTAAAGGCGTGCGCCACCACCGCCCGGCAAGTTGTTTATTTTTTAAAGAAAGTCCAGGTCCAAGTTGTCTGTGGCCTTCTGACTCAACTTGCTTCCCATTACTAATAATTACTGGGAAAATTGGTCTATTACATTAAAAGAACCCCCACCTCTAAAACATCCCAATTTAACTGCACAGAGAACCTTAAAGATCCATTCACTTACATCTCAACCAGCTCCTGTCTATAGAGCTGTTTTAATAACATATCCTTGATCCATGAGATAGATGACTGCATCTCCTGAAGCAAATCTCAATAGAGAACATGATATGATAGGACTGTAAGATGTTGACATTAAAGAATAGAGAGTAAACAAAACTCATGTTTAAATTTAAATTATTTTAAAACAAGAGGTTAGGATAATAGAAAATAAATAGATACTAGAACCAAAAGAGAGTTAGACTTCTGTAGATGTTAGGGCTCCATGTTTGACTCAAGGCCATGGAATGAGTTTAGTGGATTCCTGACCATAGTACCTAGCCATTTTCACTTTGTTTCATTAGCACTAGAAAAGTTTGTGGTTCTCTACTTGCTGACACAAGTCCAGGAGTCTCATTTAAAGTGCTCTGATTCCTTGATACAGTGGCACGAGGGTAACAGAGGCCAGAGGACATGGGCTTCATGTTCATTATCCTTTGGCTTCATAGCCAAAGTCAGCATCAATTCAGAGCATAGAGTAAAATGTACTGCTATTCAATATGTGAAAAATGCAAAACACACACAAACAGTCTAGTCCAAATTAGCCTGTGAACCACAATTGGGAATCTCTTCAATTTGTCTAATGGGTATATCCAACCTGTAGCTCACAACTGAAGATAGCTAGTGATGGGGTGCAACACAAAACCATGAACTTACTTAAATTATTATAAGATTTTAATATATATTACTATATATATGTATACACACACATATATACATACATATACCTATATATATATATATATATATATATATATAAAATATAAGCACATACCTATATTGTAATCTGACTGCTTTGTTATGGTGTGTAAACTTTGCAGATGACAAGGTCATGTTGCAGTGTCAAAAGGCTGGTCATGCTACAAGATGCCTGTACTGGCTGGTTTAATGTATCAACTTGACACAAGCTAGAGTGATCAAAGAGGAAGGAACCTCAGTTGAGGAAATGCTTCCATGAGATCTAGCTGTAAGGCATTTTCTTAATTAGTGATTAATGGGGGTGGGTCCAGTCCATAGTGGGTTGTACCATCCCTGGGCTGGTAGTCTTAAGATTCTATAGAAAAGCAGGTTAAGCAAGCCAGAAGGAGCAAGACAATAAGCAGCACCCCTCCATAACCTCTGCATCAGCTCCTGCTTCCAGGATCCTGCCCTGTTTGAGTTCCGGTCCTGACTTCCTTCAACAATGAACAATGACGTGGAAATGTAAGCCAAATAAACCCTTTCCTCCCCAACTTGCTTTTTGGTCATGGTGCTTCATTTGCAACAATAGAAACCCTAAGATAATGCCAATGAGAAAGAATTCTCAAAAGAAGAAAAGGCTAAATTATGATATTTTCATCTGAATTTAGGCTACCATGATTTGGACAAACAAAAAACAGTGTCAGAATAACATATGGAAATATTTTTATGGTGCCTGTCCTAGTCAGCCTTAAGTGTAACTTGACACAGCCTAGAGTCATCTGAGAGGAGAAGCCTCAGTTGAGGAATTATGTAAATCAGGCTGGTCTGTGGAAATGCCCGTGAGGGACTGCCTTGATTATTATTTGTTGTAGGAAGGTCCAGCCCATTCTGGGTGGCACCGTTCCCCATATAGGTGGTCCTGAGCTGTATAAAAAACTAGTTAAGCATAACTAAGTGATCTAGAGGGAAAACCAGTAAGAAGAATGCTTCCATGGATTCTGATATGACTCTTTGTTCAAGTCCCTACCTTGACTTCTTCAATGATGGACTGTATCATCAAAGTGTAAGCCAATCAAACCCTTTCTACCCCAAGTTGCTTTTGATCAGACTATGTTTTTTAATCACAGCAACAAAATGAAATGAGGATAATTCCTATCAGAAAACATTACTTTTTTTATCTGTGGACTTTGCCCATAATTTTATGTTGTTGCACTACACTCTCATTTCCTCAGGAATTTTAGAGAGTATGTATTCTAATGCAAGTTCTCTTAGGTTTTGAGTACACACTGAAAGCTTATCCTCAGCACACTATGAGCAAACATTGTCCTATATTCTCCACGAACTAGCTCTCATGTGGACTGGTCTCATAGTGGACTGAGGTATTGAGAAATGCCCTTTTGCTATGATTTTATTTTAATTATATGTGTTTATGAGGTGAAAATGCTAATTTGATATGATATGATAATGATTAAATGAAGGTAATTAGCCTTTGTGTCTCCTTAAACATGGTTACTTTTTGTGTTGGTAATCTTTGAACTCATATTTTCTGGTTCTTTTTAAGAGATGTGAGTTACAGCACCAGACTGTACAGTATAAAGTATAACATTAGAACAGATTTCAGTGTAATGTGAATAATGTATATTTGGTACCCATTATCTAAGCTCTTCCAATCTCCAATATTCTTCTCCTTCTTACTTATAATTACCAACATTCCATTTTGCACTATACAATCTACTTATTTTAGGTTTAACATATGAATGAGATCACATACTATTTGTCTTTGTGTGTCTGGCTTCTCTCACTCAATGTAATGTCCTTGAGTTCATCCATGCTGTCACATGTTGCCTTCATCCTTTTTTATGGCTTTTGTATTGCAAAAAACAATTATTATTATAAAAGCAATATTGATAGCATTTTACAAAATGGAGTCAGGGAGCCATTAGGACATAGAGTTAGACATGACTCCAACTGCTAACTGTTGCCTGAAATGTGAGCCTTTTACATGAAGCCTCTACAGCACAAGAACCACAAGGCGATGCCTTTGCACTCGAAGCCTCAGGACATATATCACTTGGTGACTGGACTCTAACTTTACGGACATTTCAGTTCAGTTTACATATACCTTCTCTAGAGTAAATGGTCCACCTAAGCTCAGATTTCCCATGCCTTTCCCAGAACACTGACTTAGCTATCCAAAACTGGAGCCCTGAATTGTTCTTCCTAAAACTCCAGAGACAGCCCTTCTCCCTGATGCAGTTTCTGAGTCAAAATTCAGTGACACTACATATCTGACACATTTTCTTTATCAATTCATCCATCAAGACACAAATGAGTTGATTCTATGTCTTGGTTCTTGTGAGACTTGTTACAGTAGCTGCGGGAGTACAGATATCTGATATATGTACTGGCTTCATCACACATGTATAGACATGTATGTACATACATGCTCACACAGACATGCAGGACAGCTGGCTTGTAAATTCAGCTACACTGTATTTGGGATTCTTTTTTTGGGGAAAGTCCTCATTCCTTAACAATTTTCCTCTTTTCTCTCAGTCTATTTCCCGTTATCCTTAGAGAGTTTTGAAGAAATGCTAGGGGTTTGGGAATGAAGTGATATATTTCTCATGACTGAGAATGTGTTTCTGTTAAGGGAATACTGGTTCCCCTGTGGCTGTGACCATTTCAGCAAAGCGTAGCTCTAGAGACTACATTCTGAAAGAGTAGATACAGCCTATGCAATGCAGATGTATCTGATTACAGTTGATGTCTATTATGAAGTAGTTAGCCAATGTTGTCTGTCCTCTTCTAGTGATTCACCATTGGTGTCAGGTTAAAGAATTATCAAACACAGCGGAAGCCAGCATTCTCCTGGCTTCTAGGTGATTATAATCCTACCTTAGGAACTGCAGTTGTATTTATATCAACATACCATTTTGAATGTGTTTCTCTTGCGTGACTGTCAGCACCTAGGATGGTTTTTAGGCTATATCTCTATATCCATTCATCTGTACATTGTTCTTTTTCATTTTACATGGTTGGTAGCAATTGCACAGCATTTCAGATACCTCCCCTGCTAAGACCCACACTTATGGATATTGAAAAGTAACACTAGTGCAAAAAATATCTATAGAATACAGTATTATACGGTGTCAAGTATTAGACATTCTGTTACATGGGAAACATTTGAATTGGGTTTAAAAACCAACTTCTTTTAGATAATACTTTTGGGTCAGCTGATCAACACCAATTGTGATTTGTTTTCTAACTCTATTGATTTGTAGCAACCTAGAAATAAGCAATAAATAGATAATGTCAACCCAGAAATCTAATCACCAATCAACTTTACATAGTTAGCAACTTCTCACTCCAGACCTTAATTCCCTAAGCACTCATGAAGAAAAAAAAAAGAGTAAAAAAATTATCACTGTCTATAGCAATTCTCCAATCTCTCCCAGTTAACATGTTTCATACAAATTAAATGTCGGCATTATTCAAAATGAGTCCTTGGCCAACCACAGACAGGAAACAGCCACTGATCAATGCAAATCAAAGCTAGAAGCTTACCTTAGTTCCTTGAAGGGGTCTGCTCTGACATTAGGTGTTTCTATGGATTTGGGAAAGACTGTGCCTTCAGCTCCTACAGAGAAAAAGACAAAATAGACATTGTGCATGTGGGGTCACCCAGGGCATCCGCAGCACACTGATTAGCACTGAGAGCATGCATATTGCCACTAGCTTCAGGGCTTTGGACAGGACAATGTTGAATCAGTTCCTGCAAACAACCCTTGAAAAAACCAGGGACAACTCGTGTTACAGCAGAGGGAGGCCAGGAGGAAAAGTCCACCTGGGTTTCCAAAAAGAAAACAAACAAACATTTAAATTAAAGCATAATTACATTACGTTCCTTTTCTCTTTCCTCCCTCGAGCCCACCCATGTTCCCTTTCCTCACTCTCAAATTGATAGCTTCTTCCTCAAAAAGGAAACCATCTTTAAAAAGATGCCTTGAAATGGGAAATTTTAATTCTTGTCTCCTATAAACTATTAATAGTCACCTGACTGGAAGTTTTGAATACAGCAGCTGAGGTCCTTTCCCTGCAATGCAGTACAAATTGTGTCACATGGGATTAGATGGGTAGTGTTTGCCTGGTGTCAAGCTAAAGCTTTTCCTATAAATTAAGTTCTGCATTCTGATTGTGAAAACCTATGCAAATGGGGAGATCACTTGAAGCACATCTATCTTTGCTAAGTATTAACATTGATCCCCAGCCCAACCAAGACATTCAGCTCTTGCTTGAGCTATCAGCCTTTATTTGTACCACTTGTCAACATCAGCTGAACCTCTCAAGCTATAAAAAGTAGTGATGATCTGATTTTTATGCTCCCTAAGTGATTTCAAATCATTTAACCTACAGTGTATTGGGGACAATTGCCCTGGATATTAGCTTTTCAATTAAACATAGCTGGGGCAGTATCCTGTACTTTGAAGAAGTTAAGCGCTTCACATTTGGTGTATGATTTTGATGCTGTTAAGAAAGTGGAGCATCTTTCACTTATGTGAAACTTTCTAGAACTCTCTTGCATATTTGTACTGCCTAGAAAGTCCCAATTTGTAATTATTATTTCATTTTAGATTCATCCTGGTATAATGATGTGTCCAAAGAAATGGATTTGTTTATTTACTTAGGCAGCAACTGCAAAAATATTCAATCTTATGATAGCAGCAACAGACTGCTGCAAGCACAATCAGAAATAGTGCTTTGACCTCATATTACACATAACCAATGAAGGAAGGACTTGATTTGCAGAAACTTTTAAGTTAATGATTTTGAGTGCATCCTATAGATTCCATCATATGTACATGCTCATATTCCCTGCAGCAGCCTCATCAAATTGACACATTCAGTGGGCAGAAACATTAAGTGTGGGCCATTTCAAACCTTTCTCACTCTAAAGATATTCTTGTGTGTTTGTCTGTGTGTGTATATGTGTGCTCAGGTGTGCTCTCGCATGCACGCTCATGTAGAAACAAGAGTTGACAGTGGGTGTCTTCTTCAATGACTCCACACCTTATTTTTTGAGACAGGGTCTCTCACTGAACTTGGAGAGTTTTGTTGTGGCCAGACTGGCTATCTAGCAAGCCCCTGGGATGCATCTGTCTCCACCTCCCAATGCTGAAGTTACAGATGTATGCCACCAAGTTTGCCCTTTACATAGGTACTAGGGACCCAAACTCAGGTCCTCATGTTCGCATAACAAGCACTTTACCCACTGAGCACTTCCACAGCACTGACATTGTTCTTGTCTTTTAAGATTCCAAATCATTTCAAACCCATTAAAGTATACATATAATGAAATCTACAACTTGTTATGCAAATTACATAAGAATGTTCAAAGTTTTGTTATGCATAAATTACTAATTTTGCCCCAGAGATTTCCACATTGTATTTTTATATAAGTGTAGAATGAACTGGATTTTAGACTGTCATGTAGCTTTTGTTAAATATGCACCAAATTTGGCTTTGAAGAATGTATTAATTTCTTCTTTGCTATGACCAAAGGTTTGGCTCACAGAAAGCTACCCAACACTCTGATATTGGGACGTGATGTTGCCACACATGATCTAGTCTATACATGTGTTTGGCCATATTCATAGGTATTCTGGAGCACATTTGGATGTGCCTGGCTTATGATTTGAGGTTATGGTTCCTCATGGAGAAGGCATAATGGCAGGAGCTTGCTTATATCTGGGCAGTTCAGGAGGCAGAGACAAAGGAGGATGCCAGCATTCAGGTGGCCTTTTCCTTGCCCATATTTATTCAGTCTGAGCCCCTAGCCCCCAGGATGGTGTGGCTCATATTTTTTCCCACCAGTTAATCCTTTCTGGAAAGTCCTCAGAGATAAATCCCAAAGTATGTCTGTCTAACCCTCTAGAAACTTCTTTATACAATCAAATTGACAAAAGAAATTAATCATCACAATGAGTGTCCATTTCACATTCTAGCATTTCTGAGATACTTGAAGATTATGATTAAACAACCCCATAGAAGTCACATGGTGGTGTCGTGAGGCCCAGGTCACATCCCCAACCACCTTCTCTTCTGAAGAAACCACATCACTGAATGGGGACTTTCCTTACTGGAATAAAGCAATGTTCCTTTTAATTGTAGTTTTGCTATATCTCTGTAAGAAAAGGAGTTAGTTTGGTTATACTGTTGGTATATTTAAGTTCTAGTTGAATCTCCTTTCCTCTATCTGGAATTCTACAAAAGCAAAAAGACTATTACCTTTTTTAAAAAGTCAACCTTATTTGTCTGGCTCACACAGATGGCAACTGTTCTTATCTGTGGACAGCCTTCACTATGTGGACTGTTACTGCAACCATGGCACTTGTTGTTTTGTCCACTGCCATGCACACCCCTACCTTCATTTCATAAGACATCTGAAGCCTACAGTGACTGTATACAATATGGATATACTGTAGGACAGAGGCTACATGACATCAGCCTAATCACTCAAACTTGAAGAATGGCATTTTCTTTTTAAAATGACTTTCAAATGCCTGACCAGTTTCTTCATCCCAGTTAATCCCGGACTGTGTCAGCTTCTTCATTAGCCAAGGAAGATAATCAAACTCAATTGTACACCTGGATTTACTCAGTTCAATAAGGAGCTACTTATCTGAAGCTCACGGCTTTTGTCTGTATCACTCCTCTGAGCCAGTCCAAGGGGGAAATAAGTGACCATGATGAGGTGTCTCAACCCTTTGCACAATAATGATGCATGAAATGAAACAGACATAGTCTCTGAACCCCAGAGTTCAGGGCCAGTTTTCTCTCATCCAAAAATACCTTTGCTGTTCCCTGACTAGGAGAATGTCTTTCTCTTTGCAATATCCCCATTGCCTAACACAACCAAAAGCAAAGAGTAGGCACTCAACACACTATGTATACAAAATGGCTACATCATTTATTGTCACCCAACATACACCACTCCGCATTTTTATGTATATTATAGACATCATTCTATCTCTTCAACGTGTCATAGAATCTGTATAAGTAGGTGCAGCTTCCTTGGGCTGCTACTGGGCTGGTTTCTGACTGATGCTGCAATTCCTTTGGGAGTACTCATTTCCTGTCATAAAATCCCATACTTACATGGTAACATATATTTTAAGAGAGTGTCACAAACCACAATTCAAAATATTATTTTAGTTCTACCTATAAAATAAAAACACTGTTAATAAAGGAATATGGTAAAGACTACATAAACACACCTCTTTAAAGTCAAAGGTAGTCAGGGGCTGTAATCCCCTCCCATACCAAGGGACACTTATCTAAAGACTGCAGCTAGAATTCACATGGGTCTCATAACCACATCTGTAGGGACTGCACCTGCAGAGATTCACATGAGCATGTGACTATTGGCCCACCTTTAACTCCAGGACCCCATCACCTTGCTTTGTCCATAGTAGGTTATTACTGTTTGAATAGCAAATGCCTCCCCCAGGCTTATTGTTGAATATTTTGCCCCTAGCTGTTGGTGGTATTTTGAGAGGTCTTAGGAGGTTTAGGAAGGGCTCCAAGCTGAAGAAAGTAGAGGTGGGGACATGCTGTTGGAGGCTATGTCTTGTCTTAACTGGGTTTTTATATCTCTGTTTCCTTCTGCTTCCTGCCTGACATGTAGTGCACATCATCTGCTCCCATCTCTGACTGCCATGTTCTGCCGCACAGAGAACACAGAGCTGGAGGACTACACTCTGAACCTTCTGATGTTGTAAGCCACAAGTCCTCCCTCTTTTAACTTGCTTTGATTAGTGAGGTGCTGCTAACTAGTTAATCCAGGTGAAAGTAGCACCTACTGAAAAACAAGGCAACAAACACCACAGGGGCCTCTTTGGGTGGGAAAGGGGACTTCCTGTGGGAAGAGAGGAAAATGCAAGATGCCCACACTCCTTCACCTCTCCTCATCTAATCCGGTAACCCCTGTGTTGTTCTGCTCTGGGATTTAGTCAATGGGGTCCACATGTCCTGCACACCAAAGGCCATGCCTTTAGACTCAGATTTCTAGAGGAAGATATGGGTTGGCAGAGGGACCTTGAACAGGACACACAACTCCCACGATGCTCAGTTTTCTTTTTAGAAAAGAAAGAACATAGGTTGGCAAAATGGCCCAGTGGGTGAATCACTTGTCATGTGAGGCTGAACACCTGAGTTCATCTTGGAACTCACATGAGAGAGTGAGACCCTATGCATGGACAAGTCTTCAGACCTCAACAAACATGCTATGGTGTATGCATGCCTATGGTGAAGAGACTGAGTAACTTATCAATATGCAATCTATGCCTTGGGGACATGGAAACTGTTCTATAGTCACAGAGCTCAGGAGTTTGGGGTTCCAGACCCAATGCTCTTCTCATATGCTCTGGATGATCTCTCTCAGCAGACTCATTTGCCCTGTGCTTAGTCCTTGTTCTCTGAGTCGGAACAAATATCAAGGATCATGCCCTCAAGGAGTGCTTTTAGCCCCAAGTTACCTGTCTTCCCAAAACCAATTCATGAGATGAAATCTTAACACTTTTAAAAAAGCCCTTTTATTTTTAAATCCTACCAGGTTTCTGATTTCCACATTTCTTACTT